TTCGTCGAAGAAACCACGTTTCGAGGAGACCCATGTACAAAAAGTGAAGGAACAACTGGCCGCGCGTCTAGACGCTCCTAAGGAAGCCTCGGTTACCGTCGACAACATTAAATCGCTCTCGGAAGCGATGTCGGTGGAGAAGATCGCCGCGATCAAGGCGAAACGCTTGGCGAAGAAACGTACCACCATCAAGGAGAACGACGACATTGGTATGGGCTCGGATCTGCGCGTGATCCTCGACATGGATGTCGACGACACCAAGGACATCGTGTCGCGCGAGCGACAATGGCGGACTCGCGCCACGATTCTCCAGAGCAGCGGTAAGATTTTCGCGAAGAATATCTTCGCGATCCTCCAGAGTATCAAGGCGCGCGAGGAGGGCCGACAGAAGGGACCGGCCGTGCCCACACCGATGGTGACGCCTCGTTCGACGCCCATGCGACCTCTGCCTCAGCCGGCCGTGTATAATCGTTACGATCAGGAGCGTTTCATCCGGCAGAAGGAGGAAACTGAGGGATTCAAGATCGACACCATGGGCACGTATCATGGAATGACGCTGAAATCCGTGACCGAAGGTACAAATCCCGCCGTGAGAAAACCACCGACCAATCCGTCCAGCACGCCGACTTCCGGTTTGTTGCCGACGTCCGCCGCTAAACTGACGCCCCAGCAAGCCGCGCAGAACAAACGACCTAGCCGGACACCCATCATCATCATTCCCAGCGCCAATACGTCCCTCATCACTATGTACAACTCCAAGGACATTCTTCAGGATTTGAAATACATTAGCAATGAGGACAAACGGGCGCAGGGTTGCAAACGTGAGAATGAGGTACTTCTTCAACGGCGTAAGGAAGGCGGCTTAACCGTGCCATACCGCGTGGTTGACAATCCGCAAAAACTCACTAATGCCGACTGGGAAAGGGTCGTCGCCGTATTCGTCATGGGACCAGCGTGGCAGTTCAAGGGTTGGCCATTTGATGGCAATCCGGTGGAAATATTTTCGAAAAGTATGTATATTCAATTTTTTTTTTTTTTATAGAATTATAAATGACAAACTAGCTGGATTAAGCGTTTTATTACATTGGGAGGGCTACATTAAATATATTTGTAAGCTTTTGGAATCTTTTCAGAACGAGAAAAATATATATATACATATATCAATATTTTGCTCTGTATCAATATTTCGTTATGCTCAAAAGTTTAGAACATCCTGTAATAGCGAAAAAAAAAGTTTAATCAACTTTACTTGCCAACATTCTAAATATATATGTATAATTTTTTGTTTTAATATTTTTCCTTAAATAAAGTGTGTGTTAATAAATAAATATCGATATTTTTAATAAAATAATTGTATCTATATAATAAAAATATAATTTGATCTAAAATTACAGGATGCTCCTCAAACTTTTGAGCAGTAGTAGTATCGTATTTCGAACGCAAGCACAATATTATCTCTCTTCTTGCTTACAGTATGTGCATTTCACTTGAAATATGATGAGATGAGACTGGATGCGAATGTAGCACGTTGGGCAGTCACGGTGATCGAATTGAGCCGGACAAAGAGGCACTTGGACAGAGCGGCGTTAATGATATTTTGGGAACATCTCGATAAGTAAGTACCTTATTCTTATCATGTTGTACACACACATACGCGCGCGCGCGTATCTGTTTAATGTAATTTTATATCTAAAGTTTTCAATTAAGCTGATATTAATTCTCTGCTTATTATTACTAATTTATTAATTTAATGTAATTGATATTTTATATAAATTTCTTTATGATTTTATATAAATAACATTTTTTACACGTATTTATATTGTTATTGATGAATTTTTAAGATAAACTATCTTTACAGGCATATGATCAAGAACAAGCCGCATCTTCGTTTCTGAATCCTAACGATACACGATTCAGACTCGTACGTGTGTTCTTAATATTTTTTAGATATTTTCATAAAGAGTTGTACATACGGTTCGAAAGAAATGTAACATATATATGTATATGTATATCTACATAAATATAAATGCGTACCATAATGCGAAATCGAATTGAGTTTAATCGACACATCTCGATAACGTAATTATGAATAACTACGTTATTTGATAATTATCATTTAACGAAGGAAAAAAAATTGTTTTTTAAGCGTAATAAACTTTTTAGATTGTAATCTAAGTAGAAAATCTCGATCTGTTTATCCTTTGTAATCGGCTTATCCGCCGAGATTTATTATCCTGTTTGTGATTCAACACATATTCTGCCGCGGCGTATAGATTTTTCATAGCGTATATCGATTATAATTAGCGCGAACTGATGTGCCTGTTATTGATAATTAATAAAATATCGAGCTAAGCATAGGAATTTCTATTCTTGGTTGAGAATGTAAAGGTTGTGTGTGATATGTGATCCTGGAGAATCTATCTATCTATCCATCCACGTCAGGGGGGCTATCACGTCGATATTGAGAAAGAATATATGAATAATTTTTACAACTTTCGCCCACGCAAAATGCGAAATAGAAATTTAATCAATTAGTCTAATATATCGCATAGAATTGACTCTTTAGAATGATTAATCGTATGATCAAATTTATCTGAAACACATATACGTTGTCTTAATCGTCTAGACATCTAAAACGCGAAAATGATTTCCACTTTCTTTGCATTATTGTTATTTACACGATTAAAATTAACAAAATTGCATCCAATTATTTTTAAGACTCCAAAAAATTAATATTTTTCGGGAGGCATATTTATTACGCGCGCGATATAACGTAAATCGTGTAAAAAATATATGTATATATAAATTATATATGGAAAATTTACGCAACAAATTATTCATTTACAGTTCAATGGAAAAATTAAAATTCTTTGCACGAGCGAACCTTCATATCCGTTTTAATTCAGTCGAAGAATTTTAATTTTAACGACGATGTTGACTATAAATGAACCGTAATTAACTCGCATTCAAAATGTCAAGTCCATTCAAGCTAGGTATTAAACGCTAAATGCAGTCATTCGCCATTTTTAGTTTTGTTTGTAAAAAGATCGAATGAAGTATATAAGCATAAAAAAAATTGTGAAGTGATGAAAAATGATGACGAAAAGTTGTCTCGACCGATTCTTCAAGCGAGCAGGAGGATTACATTTCGATGGTCGATAGCGATATTAAATTTCTTCGCGCGTGCTTTGTAATTCGAAACACGATGCCGCGGAGATCTCCCCGAGGGAGAAAAGACGAGACGAGGAATAAGAGGGGAGGTGGAGGATATGGCACAGCGTACCGTATTTTCTCTTTGCTTCTAAAACCAAAGCCAAAGTAAATCGCTCGCGGCGCGGTACGATTGACCGAACGGCGTTGTTTATACGCGACGGTGGATCGAATATTTCTAACTAGATTACCGCCGCCCTATTACTTTCACAAATACGACGAATTTACCCCCAACGGTATCTTCGCTGCGATTCCACCCCTATTGTTCGAGAGTCTGCGATCGCTGCGCGTTTCTTTTCAATTATCGCAATGTTTCCTCTTTCTCCTGCGCAGAAAATTGGATAATGTCGCTTCTTCTTTTGCACAATAGACTATAAAAATCAATCGATATATATATATAACAAAATCATATATACCAATATATATCTACACTCGCCCTTTTTTATAACTTTCTAATGTGACTATCATTTTTCAATCAAAAAAAGAGCACAAGCTTTCTAAGTGTGACCAAAAAATGATGATAAGTTTTAACTTATATATATTTTTCCAGCTTTATGACATTAGGCTTTCCTTAACGAAGTTAACATTAAGAGAGACTTCCTTCTCCAACGATTATCCCAGATAAATATCTCTCTCTTCTTAATCTATCTCTTAACTGTTTTCTCACCCAGAAAAAATGTTCATGCAAATTTATAATTGCACTGCGCACAATTCGGCTGCACACAAGGGATTCCTGGCAGTACGGCAGGCGGCAGATGATGCAGGATGCTGGCTGATCTAGCAGCCGACAGTCGATCTGCCGCCACTTGCGCGCACAAGTGCGCATCTCTCAGTTGCTGTTGCATGGGAGTAAAATAATTGTTATAGCGAAAATTTAGCGCGACGGCCTCCTGAGGCTCGGCCGCGGTTTTCGTGATCGGCAGATCGGTACCCTTGGCGAATTGCTCCGCGGTCGGCAGGATGTTCAGTAGACAGTAACCCGCGTCCCCGTAGACGTTTCTGGACAGGCTGGTATAGATCGGTGCCAGCATCGTGCCGGAAATCGGTTGCTGTTGTTGTTCCCCAGCACCACTGTCGACGCTGATCGTCGTCTGCGGAGGTCGAAAGGCCGAAGACGCGTGACCGATACCGGTCGACATGGCTGGTTCAACGATGCCCAGATTGTCGCTTGCAAAGTACTCGATCGCCTTCAACAGATCCTGGCCGCAGCGTTGCAGCACCAGTTGCAAGACTGATAGCTTGGTATTTGGAAAGAGGCGAGCTAGAGTTTCCACGGAGGTCTGGGACACCGGGATGGACTGTTTGGAGTTCTCCAGCTTGCTGGTATCGAAGAGGAGGCTTTTGGATTTCGAACAGTTTTCCAAGTCGTCCTGAGAGTGAATTACAAGAGATATTAGTTATGGAGAATCGTGCATGTATAACGATTATTAAATTATTTAATTAACGAACTGGATTGACGCGTGACTTGAGCGTATTTTTATTTTATTTCTTTTTTTTTTAATATTATGTTTTATACGCACAGAATAATTTTGAAGACGAGAAGTATCGTTGGTCGACACACATGGAAGATCCTTCGAATCCTCGGAAATTTTATCGAGCTTCTTCGAAGCGGGAATTGTATCCCCATTTTGATCCATCGTTGATTTTGGCTCCGTCACCGACATTCCGAAGATCTTCCCCGGCGGAAGTCGATCGAGCTTCTGTCCGGTTGCTACCTTCGCCATTTTAAGGGCGATCGCGTCCTCGGCAGCCTGCTGTCTCTTTAGGGCAACCTTGTCGCGAAAGAAGTTGTTTTAATTTATCTCGAATGGAAAAATTTAAATTATAAAATAAAATCAAACACGTGGTAATGGCTTTGACAATATACGATGTAAAAAAATAAAGATAAAAAGCAAAAAAGAATCAAGCCCGAATGTGTATCGCAAAAATAGTTGATTAAAAAATGAATTTTTTAAACATAATTATAAATAGTTCCGGACATTTCGATCCACTTTAGGAATATCTTCAGCAGCAAGATCAGAATACTCAGCGCATAAAAAAAATTTATAGTAAAGAGCTTTTAATTGCCTTTTATTTTTATTTTTTAATATTGGAAAAATATCAAAATTTTTTCACCGTATTTAAAAGCCAATGAATTTTAATATAGAAAATTATACGTTGTCTCGCGGATCTCGCAAACCAAACTTATTAAAAGTAAAAGATTCAAAAATCTATAAAAGGAAAAATTATAATACGAGAAAATATTTTATTAATTCCAATAATATATATGATTTTACTCAATTATAATATAAATTATAATTGAGATGCATTATAAATATCGAACAAATTTTTTAATACCACGCTGTAACAAGATATTCTAATACGTACTTTTTTCCAGGCTGATTAGAAATTAATTACAGAGGAGTAAAATAACGAAGAGATTGGAACGAATAAAAATATATGTGATATTGATCTGCGGTTCTATGCTATAATTAATATGGAGAAACACATATGTCGTACATATATATCATTATAGATTGCAAGTATATAGCGATCGAATCGTGATGGATCGTGACTGTGCTCGACTTATAAATGGACCCGTCGCTTATGTACGGGGCGCATTTACCGCGCTGTTATTCCAAGCTGGACCACCCGCAATAATCTTTCACGTCGTTGATGCCGAGAGAATCTACTAACCGCTTCTTCGTTCCATTTTCTCCAATCTCGCTCGATCATTGAAAGGTATAACTATCCGATTTCATTCGGCCAGTCAGTACACACATCGCCACATGTTCTTTCCGACTCGCTACAATATAGCGTTTGCTACAAAGTCTTATGTACAAAACATGCTCCAATGAATCATGCAAATAATATAATTTAATATAAAACATAAAAGATATAAAAGATATTAATATAATAAAGTATATAATATATTAATATATCATTTAATATGTGCATATATGTGTTATATTAATAGCATCATATAATTCTCACATTATTTCTTATCATATGAAAGAATGTATTTTACACTCTAGAGTAGGATTAAGGGTTCTGATAAATTTTTGGCGAGACTTTTTACATTGCAAAAAAGGAAACGTAAATTCTATAAGCATATTCGTTTATGTAGAGTTCAGTAAGCCGCGTATAATTCGGATAATATTACTTCTCCGAATAATATTACGATCGCGTTAATCATCGGGGATTACGGGAGTTGGCGCGGAACTTTCGCGCGGCAAAACCGCGCGCGGTTTACTCGGCTGTGCACCGGCAATTATCGTTAGACGAATGATCACGGGCGTGTATTTTGTTTTTGACCGCAACCATCGCGAGTTCCTCGACGCTCTGCGTCGACTATTTTCGTTTCAAGATACCAGGGGTTAGCGCGCGAACGTTTACCGCATCGAGAGTCTCGCCGCAAACAAAGTATCGAGTGTCATAATGCCTATGCAAACAGAAATGAAACGCTATACCGAGCGTTAATGGATTTAATTTATCTCGCCGTCTCCCCCTCCCTCCCCATTCCCTTTTCCGCTTGCCGCTGTTCCCGTCCTCCTCTCGAGAACGAGGAGCGGGCGAGATGCATTATGCATACGACCATATTGCCAAATTCGAGAGATTGATGACTTTGGCCATTATTCATTTGCGATTATTCTAACAGAGATCTGAAAAAAAAAATGTGATTTGAAGAGATGCTTTGAATTATTACAAATATTAATTTATCCGGCGATATCGAATGGAAATCAATTTTGTGATAACTGGAAAAAGAGAGTGAGTGAAAGAAATTATAAAATCGACAGAAGAGAAAATGAAAATGAATTTTCATTCAAATATCTCTATGTTGTGTATATTGTTAGAAATTGCAATTTACAGAATTAAAAGCAAAGAGGGCTCGCAACTTTTTTCCATCTGCTACGCGATTTGGTTTCGCGATATCCTCATATTAATTTAAATTAAACGGTCGAAATAATTTTTTCGAAATAAATGAAGCAATTACAGCGTCAATTTAATCTCTTCCCTTTTTTTTTTTTTTTTTTTTTTTTTTTAAAAAAAAGAATTTTGGGGTAATGCAAATAGAATTTTTTTCCCAGCATCTTTTTTTTTTTTATTCCGCATATTTTATTTCTGATATAAATAGATTGGCGCGCATACTAATCTTCTTCCAATTTTATTTAGTATGATAGGATTGTGTTTATGCGCAATTAGCAAAATTGCGACTGCGAAGTCAGTTATCAATTACTATCGCAACCACGTAATAAATAACCAGCCAATGGTTTGGAAACTTTCTCTTGTTGCCCGATAATTTATGCGCTCTTCTATGCCATCTTGTGGCATCATTCTATGATCAGATTTATTTTTCGTTGTGCCGTTTTTATGACGTTAGTTAAAGCTATACTATTATAAAGGTTTACTCGGCGGAAACCGCTCGCGACGCATTCGCCGGAAGAACAGAGTATAGGATTGTATCTAGAGTGGGGGATAAATAAAGAGTAGGTGGTAGGTTCTCGGCAAGACGAGAAACAAGACGGAAGTAGGTCAGCGGGACTATCGGTCGCCAAGGGTCCGGGTTCTCGTCTCGTTTGCACTCGTTTGATTTGCCGGAGGTGATGATGCTGGGTAAAACTGGATACAAGTTGTTCCAGAAAAGATGAGAATCGATGGAGGCAATACAGCCTAGAGCAAATTTATAGTTTGAAAAAAAAAATAGTAAATTAAATGGTTTATTTATTTCTTTTTATTATATATGTACATATATATATATA